TTTATCAAAACACTACTCTAATATAAATATATTTAAAAAAAAAAATCCGTGATGATGAGGAAACCCAAGACATAAGCCCATAGATACAGATACAAGCCCAAACTTATAAGAGCCCAGATAAGCCCAATAAATTCTTATGTGTGTACACCAGAACTAAATTGGGCTAACCTTATCAAATGGGTTCAAGCCCAGTAAGTTCCAGTCTATAAGTGGCTGTATCGAAAGCTAACTCATGTCCTAAAAGTGACAATACATACAAGTGTAATGGCAAATTACGCTTTGCCTTTTTATATTTGGCTATTTTTTTACTTTGACCCTAAAATTTATTTATTTATTTTTCTATTTTGACTTTGATGTTTTAAATTTACTCCTAAAACTAATTTTCAGTTTATTCCTAAAACTAATTTTTATAAAAAAATTAGATAGAAAATGACATATTAAGCCATGGTTTGGTTTTTTCATTGGGCAAAATAATCACATATGGACAAAAAAAAGTCAAAAAATTCAAAAAATCAAAAAGTCAACAAAAAAGTTTGTCACTCACAAGGCAAAAAACCAACTAAAAAAGTCAATGCCAAACAAACCCTAACAGTAACATGGTATACAATTTTTTTATTATATATAATTTACATATATGATATAAACTTAAATCTTGATATAATAATATATTTTTTATGTTATGTGACAGTTGTTATGACATTTTTTTGGGTCTAATTTTGAACAAAGTTAGTTTTAGGAGTAAATTAAGAAAAACTTGAAACATAAATGAGCGAAATGAGAAAAAATAAACTTTAAAGGCTAAAAGGAAAAATGACCAAACATAAAAGGGACAAAATGTAATTTAATAACCATAATATAAAATAATGTTATATTCACTTTTTGTTTTTTTTTTATAAATGTTTTATATCATCGGATACATAATTATAATTATACATGGGTTCAGCTATTTATTTTTAAGAAAACATGATCATAATTATCAAATCTATTTTTCTCTCTCTCTCTCTCTCTCTTTTTTTTTTTTTTTTTTTTTTTATAAAAAAAAAAAAAAAAAAAAAAAAAAAAAAAAAAAAAAAAAAAAAAAAAAAAAAAAAAAAAAAAAAAAAACACAACCCAACAAATAAATAAAAAAACAATAAAACCAACACAGTTTTAAAGAAAAAAAGAAAAAAAAAACACAACCCAATATACACATAAGTTATTTCCATGAATAGTGTGTGATTTAATTGGATGAATTAAAGTTTGAATTAAATGTAGTTCTTTGGAGTTATAAAATTTGTGTAACTTGCTTATATTTATTTACATGGTTATTGTGAATTAAATTCTTATATAATTTATGGCAATTAATTTTTTAATTTAATGTAGAAGTTATAAGGTTTTGTAACTTGTATAGTATCTTAATTCCTTAGTTATTTTGCTATTCTATGATTTGCTAGAAGGTTAAATGATATTTGATTGTATGTACGATTACTTTATATTATGTTGTCATACCTATGCGTAGAAAGGAATTGTATGGACTACTTATAATCCTCAATTGGATTGGTTATTTTTCTTTATGTTTGAAGAAATTTTTTACTTGAGATTTAGTTGGTTTGTTTACCAATTTGTAGTAGCAAGTTTTATTTGCTTATTAGACGCATTTTATATGCATGTATTTGGTTGTAGCAATTTTAAATTGTTTGCAAGTTTAAATTGCTTGTAAGTTTGGATTTTGGTTTGGTTTTCTGGAATAAAAATCAAAGTGTTTAGCCTTGGCTAAAAAGAAGGTTTTATTTGTTTCGAAATGGCAACTATCACTGATGCTGCTACTACTGCTAATGTTGGTGGGGATCTGAACCCCGGGGCAACTGGGTTGCCAACCCCTACTGTTGTGACCTCTGTGGTCAACCATGGCGTTACTCCGGCTGTTCCAGGAGGACCGCTCAGTCATCATGAGCGCCCAGAGAAATTTGCTCGAGTGAACTTCAAGAGATGGCAGCACAAGATGCTGTTCTACTTGACCACGCTAAACCTTGCAAAGGTTCTGAGCGAGGATCCTCCAGCCGTGGCAGAGAATGAGCCTGATAGGCTGAAAGTCATGGCGCTTGACACATGGAAGCAGACAGACTATCTTTGCCGGAACTATGTGTTCAACAGCTTGGCAGACTCACTCTATAGTGTGTTTTGTTCCAAGAGCTCAGCAAAAGAGTTATGGAAAGGCGTTAAGCCTTCGTATAAATTCTTACGAATGTGGGGGTATCTTGCAAAAGTGGCAATTCCTACACCCAAACGGGTTAGGATAGGCCCGAAATCCGTGGATTGTATATTCATTGGTTATGCACATAATAGTAGTGCATATCGATTTCTTGTACATAAGTCTGAAATTCCAAACATACACAGGAATACCATTATGGAGTCAAGGAATGCATGTTTCTTTGAAGACATTTTTCCTTGCCGAACCCATGAAAGGATTCCAAGGTCTTTGGAGAAATTTGATGAGCTTGCTAGTGAGGATAATCATATTAATGATTCAGGTGATGATCAAATTGAGGTTTTAGATGAGCTCAGAAGGAGTAAAAGGGCTAGGATATCCAAATCTTTTGGTCCAGACTTCTTAACTTATATGGTTGAGAACGGACCTCAAACTTTCCACGAAGCTGTGACTTCTCCTGAGAGTCCATTATGGAAAGAAGCGATCAAAAGTGAGATTGACTCCATCTTACAAAACCACACCTGGGAGTTGGTAGATTTACCTCCAGGTTGTAAGCCTTTAGGCTGCAAATGGATTTTTAAACGAAAGATAAAGGCCGATGGGTCTATTGACAAGTATAAGGCGAGGCTCGTTATCAAAGGATACAGGCAAAGAGAAGGCCTGGATTACTTTGATACGTACTCACCTATTACTAGGATAACATCCATTCGGATGGTGATTGCGATTGCTGCTTTGCGCAATCTAGAAATTCCCCTCCTCCCCAAAAAAAAAAAAAAAAAAAGCCATAGCCAAATAGAGAAATAGAGCCATAATGTCAATTTTTCACTTTAAATTGAAAATATCCATACTGATGATTTTTATTTTAAAAATAAAATTGGGACATCATGCTTATAATATTTTAATTAAATTTTGTAAAAAAATAGAGTTCTATTATATTAGGAATTGACATTTCCTAATCAAGATCGGTGAGACACGAAATAACAAACAAGAACGAAATTAACGAATCAAAACTAATACTATTTAAAAGTAAAAAATTCTCTCTCTAATTATTTCCATATTTAGAAGCGATTTCCGGTGGGATGTGGTAATTACTTGGAATGCTTCCGGTGAGGGAGGAGATTGGCCCACGCCGGTAGATCCTCTTTCTAGGCGGACGGTCCTTCGAGATTGAGGAGACGGTGGAGACGTTTGGAGGTCATCGATGTTTGTCCATTGTGGAGCGAGGTCAAGGCTTGCGTAGGGAAGTCAGGTTGGTGGGGTTTGGAGTACGATGGATAGGTGAGAAAATGCGATAGGCATCGTAGATCCAAGGCCGTCAGTCGCTTGCAAGTTGGCTGGAGGGGAAACAACGCAGTGTGGCGGTTTGGATTCGTACAGAGGGCGATAGCAATTCTTTGTTTCAGATCGTGGTTACCTCGGAGGGTAAAAGAACTCAGATTTTTCTTCCCATTTCGAATTTTGGGGAAGACGAGGAGGGTGTGGCACTGGTTTTGGAAGGATTTGCTAAAGGGGATGGTTGGGTGACCCGGATTGATGTGGGTAAGAAGGTGCTGAAAGGGTAGAAAGTGGCCACAGCGGCTGTCGAGACAATTGACTCGTTAGAGGTTGATGATGTGGTGATGTAGGGTGTGTAAGAGGAGGGGTGGTTTGATTTGTTGGAGAGGGCGCTGGTGGGTTATGTGGGAGAGGTGGTGAGCAAAGGAGTTGGGTTCTCAGCTATGATGGATTGGGTTGACCGTTGGTGGAACGGGGTTGGGCGAGTGGGGATTCGTCTGATAGGAAGTCAGGCTTTCTTGTTTGTTTTTCCAGCTTGGTGTGAGGCCGAAGGTGTGTTGCGGCGTAGATGGGTGATTGATGGACGCGATTTAGCTCTGCAATGGTGGTCACCGATTGTGCTCTGCGACAATGGGAAGACATCGGGAGCGGGGAGGTTCAAATGGGTTAAAGTGCTGGGTATACCTTTGCACCTTCGTGGAGAAGAAACCTATCGGGCTGTCGGCGATCGGTGTGGGGGTTTTGTGGAGGCCGACGAACAGTCGACTGACCTAGGAATGGTTCGGTTGTTGGTTCGAAAAGGAAGAAGCCCTCCTGCTAGGGTTTTGCTCCGTTGGGAGTCATGGTTGTACTCGCTACCAGTTTGGCCGGAGTCGGGGCCGTCATTTGAAGCTTTCCAACTGGCGACTGTACCGAATAAGGAAACCCGAGTGTGGAGGCGTGAAGATCGACGGAATTGGGGGTATGGACGATTTGGGAAAAGTCGTAGCTTTGGGAAGGAGGGTCTTAGAGATGGGTTTTGGGCAGACCACATGCAAGGCCCTTAATTAATAAATTTGGCCAGGGAAATTTGGGCCTCATGGTCTCTCAAGTCAAGAAGGTGGGCCAGGGGGTTTGGGCTCTACCACTTGGGTGCCTATGCATGTGGGCCAGTCTTCTTTGACTAGAAATCCAGTTGTGCGGCCCAGTGGGTTTTTGAACTCTTCTCAGGCCCTACCTCAAGGATTACCTGGTCCAGCAAGGAAGGTGGGCCCACAGGTGAACCCGACGATAGACCAGGTCTTCGGGACACCACAGGCAGCACACAGTGGCTGGTGGATTAGCTTCTTTACTCACGCCGCTTGGGGAGGAGCTTGGTAGGGTAGAGTAGGGATGTTAGGAGAACCATAAAGAGTGGGGGGCATAATTGGAGGTTGGTTAGGCCGAGATTGGTGATGGTCTAGCTATAGTCCTTCAGCCATTGGCAGTAGAAGCTGGGGAAATGGTGGCGGCTACCTCTCAGTCTGATACAGAACAGGTTTCGGAGGTGCATTTCTAGATGGAGCAGCCACTGACGTCGGATGAGGTTTTTGAGTGGGTGTTGGCTCGGATTGCTGAGGTTAGTAAATTTTTGGGTGTTTCTTTTGAAGGGCATAAGGAAGAGGCTTTGAAACTGTTTTTGGCCATTGAGATGTCATGATGATAGGGTGTTTCTTTTGGGGGGCAAGAGTTACAGAGTACGGGCCAGAAGGATAGAGGAGACCGGGAATTACGCAGATTAGAATGCTCCATTAATTATGATTGTAATAGGACTGGACTTGTCGGCGGATGAGGAAGGGGCGTGGAGATCCTTTGTTGTTGCCATGCGTTTGAAAATATTGATTTGGAATGTGCGGGGTTTAAAAGATAAAGGAAAGAGGATAGTGGTTAGATCATTATTGAAGAGTGCTAGAGCGGATGTGGTGTGCCTTCAGGAAACTAAAATGTAGTGTGTAGGGTGGATGTTGTCAGGGATATTTGGGGTGGTAGGCATGTGGATTGGGCCTTCCAACCAGCTATAGGGGTAGCAGGTGGTGTTCTTACGTGTTGGGATAATGGGGTGGTGGTGCAGGAGGGGGTAGAGGTGGGAGGTTTTTCCTTATCTTGTCTGTTCAAATATGTGGATGATGACTTTCGTTGGCTATTTATGGGGGTGTATGGGCCAGTCAGGAGATTAGAGCGGGAGGCTTTTTGGAAGGAATTACTTGCTGTTGCTTTTTGCTGGGAGAGACCTTGGTGTGTAGGTGGAGATTTCAATGTTGTGCGGAGTTAAACGAGGAGACAGGGGTCAGGCACGTGACGGGGTTGATGAAAGTGTTTTTCTCTTTTATTGATACGATGGAGTTGATCGATATGCCGTTGCAGGGAGGGGGTTATACCTGGTCCGGAGGTCGGGCAATGTCTTGTATTGATAGATTCTTGGTCACGAGGGATTCAGAAGAGCATTTTTCCTAGATGTTCCAGGCTCGATTACAGCGTCCGATTTCGGATCATTGGCCTGTCCTTTTGAATAGTGGGGGAGTGCAGCATGGCTCGACGCCTTTTCGTTTTGAGAATATGTGGTTACAGGCCGAAGGTTTTGGCGAGACAATAAAGGAGTGGTGAGGGAGTTATAGTGTGGCCGGGTTGTTTAGTACCCGGATAGCTCAAAAGTTAAAGCTGCTTAAATCTGATTTGAAGCGGTGGAATCAGGAGGTGTTTGGTCAGTTAGAGGTACAGAAGGCGAGTACTTTGTCGATTTTGCAGGAGTGGGATGAGAAGGAAGAAAGAACGGGATTGTCGACAGATGATGTGGTGTGTCGGGAGGGGGCGCAGAAGGATTATGGGCGGATTGCTAGGATGAAGGATATTAGTTATCGCCAGAAGTCCAGGTGCTTGTGGTTGAAGGATGGGGACTGTAATACTAAATTTTTCCATCGGATGGCAAATGCTTACCGGTGGGTGAATTAAATAGGGCGATTGTGGGTTAATTGGGTGTTGCTTTCCTCAGAAGTGGATATCCGGAATGGTATTGTGGGTTTCTACCAGCATCTTTTTAGGGATGAAGGGGAGGGGCGGCGACTAGATTTGGAGGGAGTAATTTTTGATACTATTTTAGATGATGCGGTGTTGATGCTGGAGTGCCGTTTGCGGATGAGGAGGTTTGGGGTGCGTTGAGAAGTATGTTCGAGGATAAAGCCCCTAGGCTGGATAGCTTTTCCATGGCCTTTTCCAACAATGTTGAGGGGTGGTAAAGGTGGAAGTGAAGGCCGTATTAGATCAGTTTTATCAGGAGGGACAGTTTGAGAAGAGTCTTAATGCCACTTTTATTGCTTTGATTCCCAAGAAAGGTGGGGCGGAGGATATTAGAGAGTTTTGGCCAATTAGTCTTTTGGGTAGTGTCTACAAATTATTGGCTAAAGTTCTGGCTAATAGACTTCGGGGTGTTTTGGAGGGGGTGGTGTCAGAATCTCAGAATGCGTTTGTGGGGGGTCGTCAAATTTTGGACGCTATGTTTGTGGCTAATGAATGTGTGAACTCGTGGGTTCGGCAAGGAAATGTGGGCATTATGTGCAAGCTGGATATTGAGAAAGCTTATGATATTGTAAATTGGAATTTTCTGTTGTATGTGCTTCAACGAATGGGTTTTGGGAAACGATGGAAGCAGTGGATTCAGTTTTGCATTTTTACGATGTGGTTATCAGTCTTGGTTAATGGCACTCCGGCGGGCTTTTTTCCTACATGGCGAGGATTACGACAAGGGGATCCTCTATTTCCTTTATTGTTTATTTTGGTGATGGAGGCATTGAGTCATTTATTGTCCAAGGCGGTTTGTTGACGGGTTTCGAGGTGGGGTCGGGGCTTGCTCCTCTGGTGGTTTCTCATCTCTTTTATGCTGATGATGCGTTTATCTTTTGTGATGCGAATGCAGATCAGATTGGGTATTTACGATGTGTGTTGCTATGCTTTGAGGCGGTGTCTGGGCTCTGGGTTAATTTGGCCAAGTCAAAATTAATTCCTGTGGGCGAGGTGGTTCATCTTTCGGTGTTGGCAGCTATTTTGGGGTGTAAGGTGGCTCAGTTACCAGTTTCCTATCTGGGACTTCCTTTGGGGGCTACCTTTAAGGGGAAATGGGTGTGGGATGAGGTGGTAGATAGAGTGCAGCGAAGGTTGGTGGGGTGGAAGCGGCAATATTTGTCTAAGGGAGGGTGGCTCACATTGATCAAGAGTGTCCTTTTTAGTATTCCGACTTACTTTATGTTGTTGCATGTGATTCTTGTAGCGGTTACTAGGCGGTTGGAAAAATTGCAACGAGATTTTTTGTGGGGTGGTGGAGGGGAGGGTTTTCATTATCATTTGGTGGCTTGGGATAGGATTTGTTCTCCTAAGGAGAGGGGGAGCCTAGGTGTCAGGAGGTTGGTGGGTTTTAACCGGGCTCTTTTAGGAAAATGATTGTGGCGTTTTGCTATGGAGAGGGAGCGGTTATGGAGGAGGGTGGTGGTGGCGAAGTATGGGGTGGCCAGAGGGGGGTGGTGCTCAAAGGGGGGTGGTCCATCCTCATGGTCGTGGGTTGTGGAAAGGGATTTGGCTAGGGTGGACGAAGTTTTGGGATACGACTCGGATTAAAGTGGGGGTAGGGGATAGGACTCGCTTTTGGCAGGATTGGTGGTGTAGCGAGGTGCCTTTGGCGAGGGTGTTTCCTATGGTTTATGCTATTGTTGCGGATGAGGAGGAGTTGGTGGAGTCTGTTAGAGTTAGGCATGGGCAGTTGTTTATTTGGAATGTTCACCTTCGCCGTAATGTGCAAGATTGGGCGTTGGATCAACTGGTGGACTTGCTGGGGCGTTTTGTATGGTGTCAAGGATAGGGGGGATAGAGCGGACTCTTTGGTGTGGGATTGTTCGAGATCTAAAGGGGTGTTTTCAGTATCTTCTTTTTATGGTATGCTTGAGGGGGGGGGGAGGGCCATGATTAATTATGCCTAACAGTAATTAGGGAGAAATTCTGAATTAACTTGCATGTGTTGTTGCATTATATGTGTTTATATCTGTTTTGTGTAGAAAGATCTGTCCATGTTTTTGTTTCGATTTGCGAAATAAAGGCCTTATCGGCATCTGATTTAGAAATTTGCTTAATTTATGTGTTAATAGGGATTTTTAGAATTTTATGGTCGGATTAATTGAAATCCGATTAGGAATGATTAAATTAGATTAATTTAATGCCCATTTGTTTGGTCTTAATTAATTACACTTTTGCCAAGCCTACATAAGGCCTATACACCCACTAGAGCCTTTGGTTTGATATCATCTTTGAGCATCTAAGTGATCAAACGTGAGAGAGAGGAAGAAAGGAGACCAAGGGTGAGATTTGGCATCAACATTTGTCTTTGAGAGGATTTTGCTAAAATTGTAGACACTTGAAGAGAATTTGGGAGTTTCACCGTCAACCTTTATGAATTCAAGTTTCTAGGTAAGGAATCAAATGCTAAATTGTGTAATTGAATTTGGCTCTACAAGCCTTCATGCGAATTAGGTGAATTCATGAAGGAATTGCGCTAGAATTTAGTAGAATTGGGCCATACCATGCATGCATGTGCATTTCTTCACAAATTGAGCATGATTTCAAAGAATTCTTTCATGCATGTGTTCATCTCACTTATATTTTGGGTATTCATTATGTTTTCTATCAAGTTGCCACGTTTGATCATGTTTTGAAGAGGTTGAGTTCAAGAGAATTCATGCATGTTGTGTTCTTGAAACATTCATAAGGTTTGTGTTGGAATTTTGCACAATTGGCATACTTTTGGGCCTTGATTTCATGAAATGATCTTTAAACCATGATGCTTTGTGAGTTTCTAAATGTTTTCTAGAATTTTGGCCCAAGAGGATGAGTTTTGGGGTGTTGAATTCATGTTTTGAACTTTGGGAGCAAATCTGAAAAACCCAGAATTTCACTTCCACGCTTGAGTGACCACCTTTATTTTCACACTTCTGTTCGAGCGACAAAAGGTTGGCTCGAGTGTAAATTTCATACTCTAAGAAATTTGCGTGTTTAGAAGCACGCTCGAGCGACAAGACTTGCGCTCGAGCGAGGAACTGTGTCTTATGCTCAAGCGAGCGTCGAGCGGAGATTTCATGCAACAAGAACTTTTTCACATTTTGCAGACCGCTCGAGCGAAGGAATCCACGCTCGAGCGAGACCCTTGTTTCAATAAAATTTTGGCTAAGTGTTTTACGTACATTTTTGCATTCTCATTCTATCCTAGGCACTCTTAGGCCATGATTAAGACTCCATAATGAGGTTAAAGGCTAGAAACACACTAAGAACAACAAAATAAGTTATGTATAATTGAGCGTGTGTTTCAATGTATGAATCTGCCGTGTTATGTAGGTCATGTGCCTCAAGATAAGTGAATTGCCCACTTTGCCATCTAATTGGAGCTACCAATTATCTGTGAGTAATAACTCTGTACAGTTATGTTTAACTTTAATTATTTTCTGATGATATGAAATGATAAGTTTTCTGAAATGCTATGTTTTGTATGAATGAATGATTGTCCAATTTTCTTTGAAACGTAATTGTGGTATCCTTAGCAGAGGCCCTCGCCCAGGGGACATAATACTATGGCTTATGGTCATGAGGCCCTAGCCCAGGGGATAATACCGTGGCCCAGGCCCAGGCCCCGGGGAAATAATACTGTGGCCCAAGCCCTCGCCCGGGGGAGACAATACCATGGCACAGGCCCTAGCCCGTGAAAAACAATACCGTGGCCAATGTATGAGATATGTTACCCGGTACCGGAGGTTCCTTTATGGAACTTGATATGCTTGACCAAAGAGACATGTTTGTGTTAATGGATGTACCACACATGATTTGAATAAGGACAAGATTATGATTCTGTTCCGTTATCTAATTATGATTCTGATTTACTATGAGACTTGAAATATGTTATGGGTATCATTCATTAAAGTCTTTACTCTGTTATTATTCACTGGGCTGTAACTCACTATTTATATTATGTATGTAGGTGAGCAGGCACGTGACCAGGTCCAGAGTTGACGGCCTATGTTTCTTTTTTGTCAGCCAACCTTTGTGCCTCCAGAGGAGGTTCCGAATGAAGTCAAGATTTGTGGCAGTTTTTGTGTAATCATGTTAGACTTTGTTTGTTGTTAAGTTTTTGGACAAGATTTCTGTTAATACTCTACTAGGAGTGATATGTAAAGGTTATATCTCTCAACATCACTTGCAAGTTTATAAAAGGTTTAAGCGATGCGTATCATGTATGTCTTCACGGCTCAATGGACTATATATATTGTGTATATTTGTTTCTGCAGCCCCTAACTTTATGTTAATCTGTCAAGAGGCCTTTGGTAATCCAAGGATTACTGGCCGATTACGATACTAAACCCATGTGGGCGGGTTTGGGTCGTGACAAAAGCGGCGTCGGAGGCTTGGGTTCTTGTTTCTCACTGTTTGATGTGGTTGGTGTGGTTGGAGCGGGATATGCATGTTTTTCAAAATGGGTGCCGTTCCGTTTCCTGGCTTGAGAGTTGGTTGTTGCTGGTTTTGCATAGTTGGGTTACGGGTTTAGTAGATCCAAGTGTTTTAGTTTTTGTAGATTTTGTGGAGGATTTGCTTAGATAGTTTGGTTTGGCCCTTTATGGGTAGTTTTTGTATTCCTTACATCATCTTGATACTTTTCTAATAAAATATATTTATTTATCAAAAAAAATAAAAATAAATTAACGAATCAAACAAACTACACATACAAGAACACAAGCATTTACATGGTTCATCCCAGAATAGGGTTATGTCCACGATTACTGCGGTTTTCACTACGATCAGAAAAATACAATTCTCTCATAACCTAAAAGAGGCGCCCCCTCATCTATTTATAAGTATAAAATTAGGGTTACACGGAAGCACATAAGAATTTCGAAAGTACCCTCCTGGATCCTTTTCCCTCTTGGGAGGAGGCCCCTTAAACCCTCTATTGGACCCAGTGTTTGAGTGAACAGTAGGGTTGAATAACCAATACTTATCAGGGTCCACCGACCCAACAATCTCCCACTTGGAACCTGATAACACAAGCTCTCCATCATCTTCATCACATAGAGGAACGCCGCAACATCTCGATCTTCCTTCATTAATCTTGAAGGCCAACTGAAGTTGCACTAAACTTCAGTTTGTCAATGGTGACTGTCTTGGTTAACATATCTACTGGATTCTTACTGTCTTGGATCTTCTCAAGAGACAAGACTCCATCATCTACAAGTGAACGAATGAAATGGTATCGCAGCTGAATGTGTTTCGTCCTAAAATAAAAAGCTGGATTCTTTGCAAGATGAATAACACTTTGACTGTCACTATGCAAAATACTCATCTCTTGCGTCTTACCCAACTCTGCTAGGAAATTCTGTAACCAAGTCATCTCCTTTCCAGCTTCAATAATAGCAACATATTCAGCCTCTGTTGTAGAAAAGGCCACAATCTTCCGTAATTGTGAAATCCAACTCACTGCTGTACCACTCAATGTGTAAACATAACCAGTGGTACTCTTTTTGTTATCCATATCACCAACCAAGTCTGCATTAACATAACCATGTATAACAATCCTCGTCACTGTTTGTCGATTAACCACTGATTACTACTAAACTGAGACTGATTATGATTGGTAATTGAATTGCTTGAAGCACTGAACTGACTGACTGAAATCTGGAACTGAATTGATTAAGTATATCTGTTTAAATTGCGAATTGAAGGCCTTATCGGTAGCCGAATATGAAAAGTAACTGAATTCGAACTGCTGAGACAAGGCACAATGTCCGTTGCTGAATATGAGACAAAATTTACTGAACTTGCCCGTTATGCACCGCATATGGTTGACACTGACTACAAGAAGGCCAGAAAGTTTGAAGGCAGCTTTAATGTTGCAATACTGGACAGAATAAATGTTCTGAAATTACCGAACTATGTAAATGTTCTTGACCGAGCCTTGATCGCTGAATCGAACATCGAAGCATTGAAAACTAAAACACTAGCATCTGAATGGCGTGGTAAAAGGCAGGGTTTTAAATTCAAGAAAGGCAAGCATAGCCCATTGAACAAGAAACAGAATACGGGGTCAACAACTAACCCCAGCCAAGGGAGTGGTTTCATACCACCCTGTTCTGAGTGTGGTAAGAAGCACAAAGGGGTCTGTTACAAAATATCTGGAGCCTGTTACAAGTGTGGCAAGGTGGGCCACATGGTTAAAGACTGCCCCTCTGCTCCACAAGCCAGTAGTAAAGCTGCACCAAGCGTGGTAGCATCAACTGTTGCACCAAAATCGAATCCCAAAGCTACCAGGAAAGAGCCTATGAGGCAGGGCCGAGTGTTCGCCCTAGTATCGGGAGACGTGCAAAATACCGAGACCGTTGTGTCAGGTATTCTCTCTATTTGTACTCAAAATG